TTGGGGGTCGAGGCTGCTGCCTCGACATCTTCTTGCTCTCTCCCTTGTTCTCATGTTCTGTGGCTCGGGGGGCTTAGCCAGTACTGTCGGACTCACTAGTGGTGTTAGAGGGTTCGGTCCAGTGGCGGTTCTTTGGCAATTAGGTGTTGTGGTTGTGGTTCGAGTTTGCTTTTAGGTGTTGTTCCGGGGCTTGGATTTCTACTTCGCTAGGCCACCGAGTTGGTGTTGGGCAGTTTCGGAGTTGGTCCTCTTTGGCTGTGGGAGTCACTTTAGGTTGACTTGGTTCCGTTGACTCTGCTTGGTCTTGCTGCTTGGGAAGGACTCGTTTTGTTTTGTGTCGTGTCTGTTATGTTTGTTTATGTTCGTTTGTTTTTGTCTGTTTATGTATGTATGTGTTGTTAGTTTGAATTTCGGTCTCTGTTTTCACCCGAGTGAGTGCATTATTATATTATTGGGATCAATTCTCACTCGGGCATTATCCTTTTGGGATCCTTAGTAGTTTTGTTTTGTAGTGTTGTGTTTTTGTCTTCAAGCGTTGCTAGGTCCGACTATAGGCGATCTTCAAATATGCCTCCCAGTCTTTTTAGCCTTTGGTTGACTTTCTTTTCGCACTTTGTGCGTTTACAAAATCCTCTATCATTCTGAAAAAAAAAATTGCAATTTAAAATTTTTTTAAAAAATTATCTATAATTTTTTACCGTAATTAATTATATATGCTACCAATAGCAATAAATTAATTAACATATACATTAAACATTTAATATGAACATCCCATAAATAAATATTAAACATATTAAATAAATAATGACATTACGCATATGAAAAATTATTAATTTTAAGCCTATTAAATAAATTATGACATTACGCGCATATGAAAATTTATTATGTAATAATAAGTTTATGATGTAAAAATATTTACTTGGTTTCAAATTTTTTGTTACAGGTTGTCACATAATGCAAAAAAAATAAATTTAGATTAATAATTTCTTTACAAAATCAAATCCAGTAGGTTTAGTATAATATTTCAAAAAACATATCTAATTATTGATATTCATATAGATAGTTATTATTATTATTATTATTATTATTATTATATGTAAAATATTTCCTATATTATCTCTAGCAATAATATTGTGAATTAAATTAAAGAAGATACTCTTTTGATTTTTCTACAATTATGGTAACAAATATCGATGGTCAATATTATGATCATGGTTTAGGAATTAAGGTTTACTGAATATCTTTCTCAAATAACAAATTTTTTGAAATTGAATTCGAATTTCTATTTAGCCGCCATTTTCAAAATAAAAATAAAATAAAATACTAAGTATCAAGGTTTTCAAAATCGAGATTCTAAGTAGAATCGTTTTGGGTGCAGAATCGGAATCGTAGAATCGGAATCGTAAAATCGTAAGACTCTACTCAAAATGTCTAAAATTAATTATTTTAACAAGTTTTATGGTAATCATCAAGAATATGTATCAAAATGCTAAAAAAAACCACCACTTGTTTTTCAAAATATAAATGTTCAAATTTTAACACTGCGCGTTCAAACTTCAAAGTTAACACTTACAAATACATAGACACGGCCATTCAAACGTCACATATAGTCCAAACTCCAAAGTCAGAACCAAAGTCACGACCATCAAGGCATCAACCAAAACTTCAATCTTCCTAATTCCTAAAACTGTGATTCTGTGAACTTTCCGTGTTCCAACAATGATAAAAAAAATAAATTGCAGGGAGATAAGTAGGGATAAATAGTTACCTCTAAACGGGAGAACAACAAAGCGATGAAGCTTAATTGTTGAGAAGTCTGCTCCGACGAAGAAGATGCAGGCGTCGAGGCCGAGCCATTTTAACGTCGGAGTTCGAACTGTCGGAAGCTACAACTGTGTGAACTGTGGACTGTGGAAGATTGGGGGCCGAAGAAGAAGTGAGAGAGAGATGGATTTGAGTTTAACGTCGGAGTACGACGGTCGGCCGGCGAGGGATGAAGGTGAAGAAGTCGCGATTCGCGACGGAAGAGCAGAGGGAATTAGGAGAAAATGAATTCAAATTAGGGATTTTAGGATTTTTGGGTATTTTTTATATTTTTTTTAATTAATTTGTTTTGGATTGGTTCAAGGGAAGGGAATATTTATGCTTCTTTGGGCCAATTTGTGTGAAAAAAATCGAAAGAAACAGCTCAAGTGCCTAAACGCAGCCCAATTTTAAAATCTGGTTCATTTTTTAAATTTTGCACAGAATCGGTCAAAGTCGTAGAATCGGTCCGATTCTACGATTTTGACCGATTCTACCGATTCTGCAGCGAATCTACATTCCTTTGCGATTTTGAGCGACTTAGAATCGATTTTGTAACTTTGAGTCGTAGAATCAGCGATTCTACGACTCAAAGTCGCGATTTTGATAACCTTGCTAAGTATGGTAACTTTAAAAAATTTAAGCGGGAATTTCAATACTATGCAAGTAAATCTCTCTCTCTCTATTATATAGTAATAGATTTACGAAAAGCAAATCAACATATTACACACAAAATTCATAAATATAAATAATTTATGGAGGATTTGAATTATCAATATTCAATATAGCATCCATTATTCTCGAAACAATTGTTTGTTTGCTTTACAACATTAATTTGAATGGAAAAAAAAATCCGTAATTGTTGGGATATCTCAATTCAAAATCTCAATTTTTTTGGCATAAGAATCTCCAAATTTGTTACCAATAAAAATAGATTCCTATGAGATTAATATTTAAGAAATAAATTAAATTTGGTATAAAAATCTCTAAATTTGTTACCATATCATTTATTTTTTTAGTCAAATTTACTATAAAAATATTTTTCCAGCAAGCTCTTATATTACTATAAATTTGAAAATTTAAAATATATTTAATTGACATGCTTGTTATTATTAGATTTGACTTTATTGCCTCTTTTGTGGAGTTCTATTGATAACAATAAAAGTGGAAGACGAAGACTCGTTAATGATAAATGATTTCTTTTATATTGAATGGCAAAGCTTTGGAAATCCAGGCATTTTTTCGACTTGGAGAAAAAAAAAATCCAATATAATCATAATAAATTTAATTAGATAATATTGATTTGTAATTATATACATTTATAAGCAATTACTACTAAAAAAAAATGATAATAGTTCAACATAAAATGGTTCTTGGAATCCAACGCCGACTTGCAAGAAATTTAATTTCAGAATATTTATTGCTCTTTGAGTTTTTGAACTGTTTTCCTAGTATTAGAATGCTGATTGGATTCATTATATTTTCTAACAGAATACTTTTAACTTTCAAATTTCCTATTGGAATATTATTTTAGTGTCTAACATAATATTTTTAACTTTCAGTTTCAAATTTCCTGTTGGAATATTATTTTAGTGTTGGATTATGACAATTTAAAATGTAAACTTATAAATCAACATTTTTTTTAATGCTATTACATGAATGTTTACTTTCCTCCAGAATCTATGGACTTTTCAGTTTTAAAGCATAAAATTTTAAGTATGATTTTCAATTTGATCACAAATAGGGTTCAAATTTCCTGATAACTATGTCACTGGTTAGAGATAAACTAAACTTTATTCTTTGTTAGAAGTGGGTTGACCCACTATTACACTAGAGAATCAATTAAGTAAAATTTAAAAGTAATTAGATGGAACTATTACTTTATTATTTTTAGCATCTAATGGATTAGGTAAGATATGCTTTAGAGTTCATGTAAACAAACTAGTATGTGCATTTGATGGGGTGTGTATGTTATAAAATTTATAATATTCTTGATTCCCATAAAAATACAAAATTATGAGGAAAATAAAAGCAATAATAATAAGTGCAGTTTTTATCCAGAGTGGAGTCAACCCACATATACAAAATATCATATTATTTAACTATTTAAAAATTAAAATACATTATTATAATAAAAATTAACATAATTTAACATAATTAAAATTAAAAATTTATAATTTTAAAATAATATACATTACATTCTTTAATTAAGTGTTGTTTTATAATATTTGTTACAATTCAACTTAACCATCACTTATCTGAGAATCGAAGTAATATATTGTAACAAGGTCTGGGTAAGAGAAGAGAGAAATATTTTTTGAGTATTATACATTGATAATATTTGAATATGTTAAATTTTCACGTTTTTTAATTCTAAACACTAACAGTAAAATTAAACTTATTTTATAATGGATAAAATACACATATAAATCATATATGAAACTAAGATACAACTTAAAAATAAATAAAATATAAAAAGTTAATATCAATGTTCAAAACTATTTTTATGCTAATTGATATACTTCAAATCTTTAAGTTACACGATTATCATTATTGTCATCTCAAGGACTGCGTAAGAGAAATAAAAATTTCCAACTGATTAAATACTCTTTTTCCAATATTTGGATTTTTCTATCCTTTCCTTTTTAGGAACACGCATACATAGCTTGAAAATTAGTATAACCATAATGTGAAATCAGTATATTGATACGTTTCTGCACACCTAATTACCTTTTTAGGAACTTTCTTCTCCCACAAAATTCAAAATTGTATCTTGCAAAATGAGAATTGTACTTTAAAGGAATAAATTAATCAGACACATTATAAATATGGAGTAAAATTATGAACTAGTTACTTGTTGTCCTTTCTATATTATGTGCATACTAGTTATCAATTCATGCATTTGCATGAAAAATGATACATTAGAGGAGCAAGTAATAAAAAATACAAATTAAAGTAAAAATCATAACTTAATCAATGAAAAAAAAAAGGGTTAACAAAGAAAATCTAAATATTATTAAACACTTTTTTATATACAACATTCGTGGTTTTTCTATAATCATAATACTCATCACCACAAATCATTACTTCAAACCCTTCGATTCATAACTATGGAAAGAGCAACGTATAATTTCCTATGACTGACTATAGGACTCTTCAGTAGTAAGCCGACGTGCGACAGAGACTGACCTTGATTCTTATTGATTATCATAGCGTATGAAACCATGGCAGAACTGCCTGTGCTGAAACTTGAATCGTACCTTCAGATCGGATGGTATAATTGTGAACCTAGGAATAAGAACCTTGTCACTAGCTTTGACACCGGTTAAAATTCTGCATTCGAGGACATGGTGGCTGAGTTTAGTAATAACCAAACGTGTACGGTAGCACAACTCCATTGAGTGATCAATGTTTCTCAGCAACATCTGGAGTGTCGACCTTCAAGTGAAATTTATGGTTCGAAAGTCCCCAACGTGTAAGTAATTTGACGGCAGCTGAAAAATTTAATTAATATAACATTTGTCATTAATTGTAACTTTGTCTTACATGAAACTAATGAAAATAATAACTTACCTCAAGTCTTCAAGTAGCACTTCAATGAATCTTTTCTCAACATTCTTCGACATCATGGTTTGCACGTTTTGGTACTTCACGATGCGACCAATTATGTCTACGAATTAAAAAGATAATAAATTAATTAATATGTTTGAAATAATTAAAATATAATAATTTTTAATTTAATAAGTAATCTTACCAATAAGTAAAGTTGGGACGACCCTACTGCCATGGCTCAATTAATTGAATTCTTCGAATTGAAGATGTATCATGGGAAGAAATCATCTCCAACTTCAAGCAATTGTGACCTTTGATAGAATAAAATTTTATAACAATACGGTACGCTTTTGAAATGTTGTAATCGTGTAATTTTTTGAACCATGTTAATTCATTAGGATTGCCTCCCACTAAATTTATTTTTTCAAATTTTTGCAGCAAGCTTGTAGGTGCTATGGCGTGATAACGTCCTCCCTATGAATGAAAAAATGTAAATGACAAAAAATTATAATAAATGGTTTAAACAAAATAAAAGACGAAAAAAATGTCTACAAAATTCAGATTACCTCAAAGTAATGGAATACAAATTCTAAGCTTTTTATTTTACTCAAATTTTACGGATTTG